TGTGGGATCTCAGCGTGAATGAGGGACTGTGATTCCGGGGCTCGGAGACCCAGGAGGAGGGGCCGCTGCTCAGCCGCGTGCAGAGGGATCTAGAATCTTTCCGTGGTCTCGCGTTTCGCTTTGGGCCAGGCAGCACAAGTGGGAAAGTGGCTAGTGATGCCAAAGAAACTCAATGGCCTGGAGAGAAACTGGGAAGTTTCCCAGCTGCAGAAGAAAGTCAGTAGAACAGAGCTTGAAGGTGGAATGCAGGGCACGGAGACGAACAATGCCTGAGCAGGGCAAAACGATACCCAACGCCAGCAGGGTCGGCCAGAGCAGAGGCATGCGCCGGGTAAGCAGGACAATGAGAGCGCCAGGCCTGCCGGATCAGAACTGGAAACCTGCTTGTAAGTGTTTTTCAGAGGTGAGCCAGATACTTCAAAGTTATTTCAAAGACCCAAGAATATTGGTGATGGGGAGGAATGGAGGGAATGGGAGAATGTACAAGGAAGTGTGGAAGTGTACATAACTCCCACCTGTGTTCTATACAATTGATTACTGTATAGAGGGATGATAATGGAAATCCCTACAGTACTCTTTACACATTCGTGTACTTCTTTTTAAAGTATTTTTCCCCTAACTCAAGAATTAGGATGTAACCTCCCAAGGCTCTGGGTCATGAGTGGTGTTGGACTGTGAGAGAATCTACATAGTTAGCACCTACTGGGAAATATTTGTTTCCCCCTGAGTAACCCCATGTCAGCTAGGTCTCCAGTGGGTTATGAAAAAGGTGACAGTGACACCCCTGAATCTTCTTCTTTTGGTTGAGAATAGGATGAAGCTCCTTAAAATCACTTCTTTTTAAAGATGTCTGACTGTTGGAGCAGCTGCTCGGAGACTGCCAGCGAGGTGAGCAATTCACCCTGTAGCTCACCATCCAGGGTCCCTATTACCGCGAAATGAGGGGGCTTCTCTCCTCCAAGCGTGGAGACCGTCCTGCCCAAGGGGAAGGAGATCGTGGAGGAACAGGGACAGGCTTCTGCAGACGCCATGACAGAAGCCCAGTTCTTAGGGGGACTCTTGTAAGCATGTGTGTTGAAACTAAAAAAGACTTATCTGTCTTGTATTTATTTATTACTTACGGGATTTGAGGAGGTGTACTAAATGGACACACGTACAATAGAGCCATCAAAATAAACACGGAAGACCTAAGGTGAACCAAGGAGAGGAGAGAGAAATGCAAGCTAAGAGAGCTACTGCGCCTACATTAGGAAAGCAGCTCACCTTGGCATTCAAAGCACATCAGGAAACGCGAGGCAGTGTAGACTCCCTACGATCTGATAAAACCAAGCGCACTGACTCCTTAGGCGACACAAGGCTTCCTCACATACTGAATTCACGGACACGTTCCACGTATCTCGCAGTCTCTTGCTTTCCCTCGTCACCACTGCCACAAAGCAGACCCAGCCCGCCGGGCTCTCTCACCGGGAGCACTTCAAAAGAAGCCACCAGTCTTCTCACTATGCGACCAGAGCCTCCACACCGGGGGGCGTGCCTTATTAAAATGCAAATATGAGATCACATCTCATTGGTTTGCTTTTTAATTGACATATAATTGACACAGAGCATTGTATTCATTTTAGGTGTACAGCATAATGATTTGATATCTGAATATTGCAAACGGATGACCACGGTGAGTTCGGTGAACAGCCATCACACAGTTCCAGTTTGTTTCCCTCGTGCACATCCCTTTGCCTGAAGATCAAAGCCCACAACTCCGAGGGCTGCACACCAGCGCCTCAGGGCCCCAGCGCAGCACAGCACAGGTCTAGGCATTCGCTCTGCTTGTAAGGCTCCCCCTCCTTACCTCCCTGCCAGTTCCCCCCACGTCTTCTTCAATAGCTAACCTCCATTGCTTTACACCTGTCTACCCCAGAAGTTTTACCTATCCAGCCCTGAAGGAATTTGAGTTTGCAAGGAAGCTCTTTGTTTTTGGACCAGATATCAGCAAAGTGGTTCTTTAAGGAATGAAACAGGGCAGAAAAGGGGCCTGAGCCTACTGGGCATTCTCAACCATCAGGTTCTTTTTCATAAGCATCAGTAGCTTCTAACAGCTAAGCAAGCAGGTTAAGGCAGGCATAGCCCTCCCCGTAGCCCCATGGCCAGGTGTGAAGGCAAGCACAGGCCGGATTCCATGACACGCTTAAACATCTATGCACCAACCCCACAGAAACGGACAGATGTGCTCTGTGAGCTCCATGGTGTCCACCTCTCAGCCCTTTCAAATTCATGGCCTGCATGGAAATTCACCTGGAATGTGATGGCAGCAGACCGGGGTGCTGCTAACACCAACACTGGGGGTCAGGCGGTGAGTCCTCCAAGGCAGCGACCGAACCCAAGACTGACTCAGAATCAGGCTCCACGGAGGGTATGGGCTTGCAGGGAAGGTGGGAGTGCCATCCCCCACAGCCTGCCGGGGGGGCTGGGACCGGTGCTGCACCCGCTCGGCCAGCTGGACAAAGAACCTGCTGAGCAAGCAGCAGCTCCACCCGGGTCTGCCATCCCTCTCTGAAGCCTCTCCTTGGTCTTCCAGGACACCCTTCTCTCTTGGTCTCTGTCTTCAAATCTAGACTAAGGGGGTTCAGTCCCTTTCCCTGCTGCTTTCTTCCATCCATCCCCTTACCATGGGTATCCCCCCAAATTCGTCTCTTTTGTCTTTCTCTGTTCACTACGTTATCTTCCCTGGAAGACTTCCTAGACAACCAGAGCATCTACCTCCGTCTATTTGTTCATGCCTCCATGAAAAACCTGTTCCGCGTCTTGCAAGTCGCCACCCTGAGAGTGGATGTCTGTACTGCTGCCACTGAATCAGAAAACCGGGAGTGATCCCACGTTCTTTCCTTACCCCGACCAACAACTGATGCATCAGGCTGGATAAGTGTTTGCTGTGGGAGCTGTCCTGTGCAGTGGAGGGTGCTGAATATCCCCTGGGGAGGGGGGATCACCCCTGGTTGAGAAGCACATGGCCCAGTCCTATAGATTCCACTACATTATTTATCTCCTCACTACAATATTTATACATATAGTACAATACATATAATACACTATACATATAGTACAATATAGTGTACTATAAACCACTACAGTATTTATCTCCTCCATTCTATTTTCTTGCTATTAATTTTATTAAATTCCACATCATTTTATGTCTGGCTTTCTCCACCTGACTCCCACCTGACTGTGGAACGCTGGCTGACCCAGAGTTATTCCTGACTCAAACCTTTATTGCTACCTTCCTTTAAAGAAAAGCAGAACACCTGCTTTTCAGCCTCCCTGAGTAGCCAGGTGACACTGCTTAGCATGGCAAATTAGGTTTGCAAAGAGGTAACAGCCAAACTTAGAGTGTCCAAGGCTTTGGGATCACCTGGCTTGGACGGCATCTCAGACTCATCACTGGTTAAATGTGCAGCTGTAGGAAAGTTACTGAGGTTCTCTGCACCCCATTGGTCACACTGACCTTATAGGGTCACTGTGGAGATAAAGTGTTTAGTACACCTGGCTGGATGTAAACCCTGGTAAAACAGTGGCTATCACACAGGAATGGCAGTGACGAGGTAATCTCTTTTCCTTGCTAATCAAAAGGCCACTACGTCGCACCTTACTCCACCATGCTTGCCTTTGAAGACTCAGATTAGCAGGCTTCCTCGAAGTTTTCTCACAATTTCCTTCTAAACTACAGGCCCTTTCTTAGATATTACTTGTTTTTCTCCTTCACATGACAAAGATCAGATGTTCTTTTGTCTGTTCCCAGGACCGCCACCACGCATGCTTGATAAATGAGAGGCTTAGTATAGGTTTGTTGATTGAGTCAACAAATGAATGAATATTAGTAAGGTACACCAGCCTTGCAAACAATTTCAATTCCTTTTAGTGGCAGGGGATGGGGGGAAGTGGGTCTTTAAAAAGCTTCAGACAAATCTACCAGGTGAAGTTTTAAAAGAAATTTTACTTCGCTAGCCTAGCACCTCTGGCCAGCTTTTAAGTAAACTGAAGCCAGGGAACAAATTATTCAAAGGGTAAAGAGGAAAACTATACACAGGACCCCAACCTTTGCGGACATCCTTTAAAAACCTTATTCTAAACAAATTCATCTAGACTCTCACAAAGAGCGGCCCTGCAAAGCGCGGACAGAGGAGTCGCAGCTTTGACACTCCGGCGATACAGGCGCTTCCCAAAGCAAAGAGCCTCACAGCTGTGCTTCAAGGAAGTGTTGCTGAGACGCGGACACGCTTTGTTCACCTGTCCAGTCTCTATTTAGCAGGCTGTTAATAAATTGAAGAATACCCACATTTCTAGGGGAAAATGAACAACAGTGACCCTAGCTGGTGTTATTTTGGTCTCTCTGTGATGGAGAACCGACCACATGTGGCTGGAGCCCAGGTGGCGGCCTTTCTCCCTGGATTTTGGACCCAACCACCTGTCCTGCTCCAGACAAACTCCCCTTCCCTAGATCAGAATTTATTACATCATCTCTTCTGGATGATCCCTCAATCAAATCTCATTAAAAAGGGATGAGAAATGAATTATTGGAAACACGTTTCTTAAAAGGACTCCCAGGAAAACCCCTTTCCTTTCCCCTTAAAAAAACAAAAACCCAGGGGCCACAGAATACGCGCACAACTCACTCTTTAAAAGGTAACGTCCATCCGCACGGCCACAGGCGTCTCCGTGGCACGCGAGTTTCTGCTTTTATCCTGCAGGCCTCCGGCGACTCCCGCGCTGCCCGGACGCCCGCAGGGGCACCAGCCCGGGAGGCAGGCTCGCGGCGGGGCGGGGTCCGGGGCGCGCAGTCCCAGGCCGGGCGCGCCGGGCGCGGGGCTGGGGTCCGCGGCGCTGGGAGGGACGGGCCTCGTCCCGCCGCCAGGCCCACCCCCTCCCGCGGCGCGGCCCCCGCCCCGCCTCGCCCGCCCCCCGGGCCGCGCGCGCTGTTGGCCGCTGTCCCCTCGTGGGCCGGTGACGTGAGCGGCCGGCCGGCCGCACCTTCCAGACGCCCCGGGCGCCCCGTGCCATCCGGTCTGCAGAGGGGCCCGGGGCCCGGCGCGCTCGGAGCCCCCGCCGCGTCCAGAGGCGCGCACAGCCTCGCCGCCCGCCCGGAGCCTCGCCGGCGCGGGTCCCGCGGCCCCGCCATGCTCCCCAGCGCCGCGGCGGCCCGCGCCGGCGCCTCCTGGGACGCGGCGGCCGCCTCGGCGCTCCTGGGCTGGACCCCCGCGCCGGGCTTTGGGGGCCTGGGCAAGAGTTTCCTGATCGAGAACTTGCTGCGCGCGGGGGCCGCCCCGCCGCTCGGACCGCCGCCGCCCCGGGCCCTGCCGGCCGGCCCGGTTCCCCTCCAGCTGTGCCCCGCGGCCGAGCACGTGCGCGCCGGCGGGGCGCCCTGCGGCCCGCGGTGGGCGGTGCAGGCGCTCAGCCCGTCGGCGGACGGCGCGGGGCTGCCGGGCCGGGCTCCGGGGGACCGAGACTGCGCCTTCCGGCCTTCGGCCCCAGGTGAGCGGCTCTCCCGCCGAGCCAGCAGCCCCGGGGGCTGGGTGCTGGGGGCGCGCGCTGCGCCGGGCGCGTCCCAGGGCGCCTCCAGCTTGGCGGGGATGCCCCTCCGGGGTAAGGAGGGTGCCGCCGTCGGGGTGACCGCCCCGGCCCGCATCGCCAGCGTGCTCCCTGTCCCCTGCTCCCACGCGTGGGGCCGGGGCCGCCTCGGGGTTCGGCCTCTCCGGTGAACCCCGAAGGCACGGCCGTGTGGCAGCGGCAGGGGCGGCCCAGCCCCAGGCCCCTGCGCTCGCTGGGCCGCTTGCTCGGCGTTTCCCAGGTCCAGCCCCCACCCCCACTCCCCGTCCGGAGGCCGCCCGGCTCCCGGGGAGGGTCTGGGCAGGGAGGGCTCCGCGCGTCCCGCCGCGGGACGCTGGCCTCTCGCCCGGGACGGTCGGGCCTTGCAGAGGCGCTCGCAAGCATCCTTGGAAGGAGAGCTGCGCAAAGCTGTGGCCTTCTTCGCTCTGATTCGGGTCACTAAGGCGCAGGACTTTCCCTTCCGGCTGAGCTGAAGCAGCTGACAGGGCACCTGGGGCGGGAAGTTCACCAGTAAATGGGAACTTACCCGAAGAAGGGAACTTTTCGTTGCTTGTAATTCCCGCACCCCTGGGAAGAGGATGCGGACAGTTTGAGCAAATCTCAGGTCAAGTGAGGAGGGGCTGCAGGGATTGGCGGTGGAAGGACAAGCCCCTTGGAACCTCAGAAGCTGAGAGCCAGGTGGATTTGGAGACAATTTGGGTAGGGGGCGGCTTGCGTCCGTAGACGATCTTAAGTCATTCTTTTATTCTCTGTGCGTTTGTCCAGAATGACTAATAGACGCTTTTCCAGCAGATGCCATTGTCCCAGCAAACTGCCGGATCAAACGTATTGCTAATGGCTTTATAGAGTCTAACGTGCTTAGAGCCTGTCCTGGTCTCTAGGTTTGAAATGGTCGCTCACAGAACGGAACAAGCATTACCACGCGAGCGGAGCGCCGGCCTCACTCACACAGTGGCCGCCCAAATGCGAGGAAGCGCTTTAGCGCCCCGGGAGGGGAAGGAACACACGCAGGCAGTATACGTGCCTCGGAGATGTGGGCCACTCTGTGCTTTTCCAAGCATAGTAAAGCAGGTTCGTGTAGACAAGTTAGTAAATAATTAATGTTACTTAAGAACATTTTCAAGAAAATGTGTTTTGCATAACTGTTGGTGGTCTGGCATTGTGTCCACAGCCGTTGCTTCTGAAAATTCCTTACTTTGCTCCTGACCAGGACTGACTACCCAACACGCACAGCTACTTAATTTTAACCTTTGTAGATTTTACAGATTAAATTTAAACCAAATGTGAATCAGGTGCAGATATTTCAATAACCTGACAAAGAATTTCATGTACCTATTCATTTTGTTCAAAATATTTTAATTATGGGGTAAAAGGTTTCCTACCTGTATTCCTCTTGTTTTCAAGAATATATTCGTTCTTGTACATGTATTAGAGTGTCAAACTGCAAAAATGATTTTTGGAATAATTAAGAGAGTGTAAGTGTTTATATTTCCCTTTGAAGTATGTTCTTCTAGGTTAATTTTAACTTGAACAAATAACCTTTTATTTTGAAAAATCATTCTTGTTAAGAGTGCATTTAAGTTTTGAAACTAGAAAAATATCTTACAAAGAAAAAAAACCCCATAAATGTGTGCCCACAAATGTGCTTACAACCAGTATTTTCATTCATTTTTATAAATTTCCCAATGGATGTAGTTTTCAGCACCAGTTATATTTAAGTGACAGATTTTAGCCTTACCCAAAGCTGGGAATTCTTTTAGACCGGGTGTAGTTATGAAGTTATAGTGAGTACTGACGATGTCAGCTGTCACCTGAAGATTAGAGGGGATGAAATAATGTCTGAAATTCTGTAGTACATAAAGGAGATAGAAAAGCGTCTGTCTTCAGAAAGATAATATCTCTTTCTGAAATGCCAGTGGATAAGCAGTTCTGATCCTTTAGACACTAACTTAGGAGTGGATCAGAAAAATGTGATTTTGAATTATTTCAGCAGATGAGCTACCCACTTTTTCCTCAACCATAACTTGTTCGGTTGCACCAGCCTAAATGTTGAATGAAAAACCCCAGAGTTCTTTTCAAATGCATCAGTGAAACAGCACCATTTAACTAGGGGCTCTCTGCCCTGGCATAGATTTCTGCTTCATTATTTTTGTTGCCCACTATTAATCGCACTATATATCTCATTCATTCAGTAACCGCTTACTGAGCGTCTCCCATGTGTCGGGCTCTGTCCTAGGCCGTGGGATAATCAGGGAATGAAACACATGCCTGTCTCTGCCCTGTGGGGCTTGTGTTCCATGTTCTGGGCTGTTTTCCGGTTTGCCGAACATTGTTATAGTTGTAAACTGCTCTAATCTTCCTAATAGGCCAATTTTTCTCTACAATGATTATTCACCTGCTTGTTTTCTTTTTGTCTGAAGTATCAATTTAAACATCCATGGACTTGTAAAAACAGAAAAAAAGTTGCCCCAAATCTTTATATTCCTTGGGTCTTTCATTCAATATGAGAAACGAATAAGGGAAAATGGGATAACTAAGTACATGTATCAGAATAATAAATCAGATTGTGATTTTGTGTCTGAGCCTGTAAGGAAGGAAACTGGCCTTCACTTGCATCTTGTCTGCAAGGTGGTGATAGCGAAGCAGTGATGCGGGCTTGTGGGTCATAGATGAGAGGAAGCCGTCATTCTCCATCCCTGGAAGTTGGCCGGAGTTTGAGTGTTTAGAACAAGGAAAGGCGCACTCCATAGCTACGTGCTGTCAAGTTGCTTATGTAGAGTACTTTAAAAACTTAAAAAACCAAAAGGGCACATTCAATGCAAGAGGCAGCAGGTAGGTTCACCTCTAAGAGTTGTATCCAAAACAAAGGAAGTCTTGAATCTGTTATAGTTTATTAGTGGAAACCAAGAGGTTTTGCAAGTAAATCCCAATCAGAGGCTTCTTTCCTAGAGGCTTGCTAATGTCATTATTTTGGCAGATATTGTATAGATTAAAATATTCATAGTTCTGTAAATAAAAGGTCTTGAAATGCAAAAAGCTAACAATTTAAATTTCTCTTGGTTATGCCACCAATTTTCTTTAAGGTGAGTGGACACATTCTTGCTTTTTAATAGCATTTATTACTTTAAACACTAGAAAATGCTATAAATTTTTGAATATAATTTCTTGATTATTAAATCTACTGCATATAAAAAGATTAGAAAGCAAATGTTAATTCTGGATAGGTGACTTGAACTTTTTTTTTGAAGAATTGTTTCAAGGGTGTTGTATTGTGTGTTAGAAAAATGGGCCAAATCTACCGTATCTTCTCTGGCACCTGGTTAGGACTGTTTCTTACCATCGGTAGTTAACGTACATGCTGGCCGCCTCCCAGGCCCAGTTGCTATTTACTTCGTAACCCTTGACTCTGTCTTAAACTACTCGCAGCTATGTTTTGTGCTTCAACTTGTAGTTTTTCTCACTTTCATTGAGATTCACTGAAAGTGTGAAATAAAATAGCTTCTGCATTTTCTGCACCTGAGGAGGGTGGAGAAGACGGCTCTCTGCTCCAGCTGGGGATTATTCCAACCGAAGACTTTGTGATCTGATTTACTGAGCGAGAGTTTGTTACCAGTTTTTGCGAACACTGTGCTGCAGACTTGTTCTGACAAATCGAAGCCGCAGAACCGTGCTTGTTGGTGGTGCTGATCCGGAACCGGGGCGTAGAGCGTGGGGAATCCAGAAAGGAGTGGCCAAGGGACCCGGTCCAGTGGTTTTTGCTCAGGCCATCACCTCGGCCGTCCTTTGGTGGACTTGGTAGATGAGACTGAACTTTGTTCTTGCTGCCTCTGTATAGTTTTTTGTAATCTGCTTAACATGTCTTTGGGTTTATATTAACATATTAATTAACTTTTACATTGTGTATGAGGAATCTGCTCCAGGCAAATTGATATACGCTCCTCAAGTCAGTGAAGTCCTTCAGGCTCAAGAATTCCCTGCAGCCAAGGGAACCCAGAGGACTGAGAGTCCTTCCTCCCCATCGCTGACGGAGCAGCCACCCTCCTTACCAAGTGATGTCAAAGCGGGAGCTGCAGCAGGGTCACAATTTCTCTGCGTTTAATTTGCCTCTGATTGGAGCACTTCTCTCTCTCCCAACCCCTAACATACGCTTCCCTCCTTCTCTTTGACAACAAGGAATCTCAGTGTGTTAGCATGTATGGAAGCTATTGAGATTTAATAATAAAACAGGACTAGGAACATTTTAGAATTTATCCCTTAGCACTTACTCACTTTGGGGATTTGGGGGTTATTTTAAGAGGCACTGTGGTTTGAATGCCCAGAAAATTGCATTCCAGTGTAGGCAGAAATAAACATAGGATTCAGAGTTTAATTCAGGAAGGCAAAGGATGCCATATGTTGCGGGCAATTTAAAAGGATTGTCCACAGTGATTTTATCTATATTTGTTTGCCATAAATGTGGCTCAGATGTTGAAGCCAAAGCTGTGCATTGGACTCCATTGTGTCCCTCTTGGAGTCCACCACCTCCTTCCTGTTCTTTCTCTCACTAGAAGAAAGTCCCTTTTTGTGGTAAGAAGGCATTTTGTGGCTAGGCTGCTGCTGAACAATGATAGAGATGGTAACAACTCGAAAGTAATAAATGTGTAAGTAGGTAATAGATGTATTTATAAAATACTTTGAGATTCTTTGCTATGAAAGTTTTTGTAGGAGTGAAGTGTTGTCTTTAAAATATTTACACAAACATGTCCTTATGTTAGGGTCAGGGATAAATACCCCTCACTCAACCTGCTCTCCACCCACCTATTTCCATTATTGATTTGTCCATAACTTCAGAATCCATCCTTTATCTTTCGCAGGAACTTGATTTGTAGCTCTTAATGCAGTGTTTGTCCACTTGATCTTGGGTTAGTGGAGGCTCTAAGTAAAAT